TWWTTTTTWAGTTTCTCGATTGCATAAATAATTATATTTTTTGAGTTATAAATATTAGAGRTCTACAACAAACGAGAAAAAAATGATTTACGYGTGCAAAATTCAAAAATGTTTCCGCCCGGGATCGAACCGGGGACCTTGTGCGTGTGAAGCACACGTGATAACCACTACACTACGGAAACAKATGGTAGAAWYWGAAGATTAGTTTTTATTTAAGTAAAAATTATAATTTRCTCAGAATATTAGGTACATAATATTATCTATCTATAATATAATAATTTGATAACATAAACAYAATACATGTTATATGTAAAAAATATTATTAAAGGAAATAAAACTTATTTGTAATATTTGTATTTTGCCTTAGAGTAGTTAGAACTTAGAATAGATCATATCCGTATATGATCAAAGTAGTTGACTTATWATTTATTAAKTTGTTTAACTAAATTTTTATTGWGTATTATTATTGATTTTAATTAATTACATACCTATTGTTTTATTTTTATATRTTTAAACACTAATCAACTATGGCTGTAACTCATTGTTTTATAAATTTATTATTTTCCTATTCTTAAATGTTTCTAAATTTACCCWTGTAAGACCTATCTAAATACTCACAATCTGTAATATGATTGATACCTATTGTATAATATAAAAAGTTTTGGATACAAAAAAAGTATTTAAAAATGGCTCCACTAATAATTGATTTTGAAAAAGTATGTCGATTATGTCTTCGAGATGATGATGGGCAAAGTAAAATGATATCAATATTTGAAAAACCAAATCTTGAAGAGACTATAAGAAATTGTGTTCAAATTGAGGTAAGTATYGATTAATTACAAATTTAGTAGGTATAAAACTAGGTATATTTTTCTAATTTTTTCTAATATTTCCAGGTGTTATCAAATACTGATGAACCAACTAATATATGTACTAGTTGCATATTAAGTTTAGATTCTTGGGTCAAATTCAAATTGCTGTGTGATAATACCAATGCATTCTTACAGCAATACAGACAGGATAAGAACGAGTCTGACCTAGTGGTAATGTTATATTTAAATTCACTTTAAAAATAATGTTAGTGACTTATTCATTTGAAGGCTTAAAGCTTAAAGATAGCTTGAGTCTTCAGTTTACTTAATAACAAACTGTGTAGGATTATTGCTTTGGAAAATTACTTGAATGTCTAATAAAGTAATAAGTATTGTATATTTATATATTCAAAAATATTAATACTTAATGATCTCTCTAGTGGGTTGGACTAGCGTTTACTACATATGACATAACTACTACATAGCACGTCCTATTAATATTTCTGATAACATTTATAGATTWTCGTAATTAATGTCTAGAAATTATTTTATAATTTTTTTTTTGTTTTGTTTTATTATGTTTTATTCAATCTGTTTCAAAGGAAAACAATAAGAATAATTGATGATAGAAGCTAAGATAAAAATAAAAATAAAAATAATATATACAATGGCAGATTTGGCGGATTGTAGAGGCCTCCCAGTGGAGGTA